AAAAAAAAAAAAAAAAAAAAAAAAAAAAAAAAAAAAAAAAAAGCATAATTTTTTTTTTTGGTACAGTGTTCTTTTGGAATTGCCTTGAAAGCCAACTTACTACTAGCCACCTAAGAAAATTAAAATGGCCAGACTGTAAGCCTCATGAGGGCAGGCACTGTATCTTATTTATCTTAATGCCTCTTCTAGGGTCTAACCCAATGTTCTGCACAGTAGGTCCTTATTGGATTCAATTCATTAAACATTTATTAAGAGAAATGAATGCACAGTGCTATGTGAGGACTAGGGATGGGCAGGGGAACATTATGACAGATGGGAGAGAAAGGCTTAATGGCTTAATGGAAAACAAAGCATTTGAACTGAGCTTTAAAAGATGACTAGGATCTCAGCAGTCAAGAGGTGGTGGCATTTCAGATCTCAGGATTTAGAGATGAAGAGGACCTCAGAAATCACCTAGTTTCCACCTCATCCTCCCTTAGTTTCCTGTGTACAGGAGGAAACTGAGGCCCAGAGGAAGGAAAAAACTCGCCCAAAGTCACTTGCTGAGTTAGTAGCAGAGCAGGGACTCAAACCCAAAGTTGTTTTGTTTTTTTTTTAATGCAATTCAATACGTGTTTATCAAGTGCCTACTAGCATCTGGCACTGCTGGGTACTGGGGGAGGTAAAAAGGTTGGATAAGATCATGTTCTTGGGTATAGGGAGCAATGTAGGGTAAAGCTTCTGATTCTTTTATTTCCTTATCCCTGCCCTCTTAGGAGAATGTCTCTTTACTCTGGTCTCTTCTCTAGGTCCGGGCTGTTGTCGGTAAAACCTATATGCTGACCCAAGATGAAGAGCTGTGGGAGAAGGAGCTGCCCCCTGGGGTGGAAGAACTGCTGAGCATGGGGCAGGACCCACTGGCAGACAGGGGTGCAGTAGCGGAACCAGGGAAGGGTGGTCCCCTCCCCCCCAGGGATAAAACTCGAGTTGTGAGCTACCGAGTTCCTCACAATGCAGCTGTGCAGGTGTATGACTACAGGGAAAAGAAAGCACGGTGAGGGGAAACACGGGGAGAAGACTGTCCTACCCTGGGTGGGATGTTAGGTGGTTTCTCCCATCGCTCCTGGGATCAGAGGCTGTGAATGACATCTCTGTATTTGGCTGACCCTCATACCTTCCACAGGGTTGTGTTTGGACCAGAGCTGGTGTGCCTTGGCCCTGAGGAACAGTTCACAGTGTTGTCCCTCTCAGCTGGCCGGCCCAAGCGCCCCCATGCCCGCCGAGCACTCTGCCTGTTGCTGGGGCCTGATTTCTTTACTGACGTCATCACCATTGAAACGGCAGACCATGCCCGGCTACAACTACAACTGGCTTACAACTGGTAACTAGGGATTACCAGCTATGTAGATAGAGGGGTGGGGGTGGGGTGGGAGAAGTGGGAGGTTAACCCATCCCCAACCCCCAACTAGCACAAAGGGAGGTCCCTAGGGAATCGTCAAGAGTCAGGCTAATGTGAGCGTAGAACATGGAGAGCCTGTGGCAGGTGCCATGTTCTGTGCTAGGTGCTGAGGATACACTGACCAGCATGAAACTGTCCCTTCTTCCAAAGGGCCTACATTCTTTTAGAAGAGGTGGTTTAGGAAGGAAGGGCACTAGCATCGTGAAAGGCTTTGTGTGAAAGGCTGTACTTGAAGGAAATGAGGGAGTCTATGAGGCAGAGAGGTCAGCAAGGGGAGGGCATTCCAGGCATGGAGGTTGCAGATGACAAAGACACAGGGGTGGGAGATCAGAGGTGGGTGGGGAGGTGAGTGAGGAACAACAAGATGGTCAGTTTGAACCATAGCATATAAGAATGAGAATAATGTGTAATGAAACCAGACAAGTAGATTCAGACCAGGCTGTGAAGGACTTTAAAAGCCATACAAAAGAGTTTATGTTTATAGGTGGCTAGGTAGTACAATAGATAAGAGTCCTGGTCCTGGAGTCAGGAAGACCTGAGTTCAAATGTGGCCTCAGAGAGATACTTGCTATAGGACCTTGGGCAAGTCACTTGCCCTATGTTTGCCTCAGTTTCCTCAAATGTCAAATGGGAATAATAATAGTAGCTATCTTCCAGGGTTGTTGTGAGGATCAAATGAGATAATATTTGTATAAAGTATTTAGTACAGTGGGGGGCAGCTAGGTGGTACAGTGGATTGAGCACAGAGCCTGGAGTCAGAAAGACTTGAGAAAGACTCATCTTCCTGCGTTCAAATCTGGCCTCAGACACTTACTAGCTGTGTGACCCTGGGCAAGTCACTTAACCCTGTTTGCCTCAGTTCCCCATCAGTAAAATGAGCTGGAGAAGGAAATGGCAAAGCACTCCAGTATCTCTGCCAAGAAAACCCCACATGGGGTCACAAAGAGTCAAACATGACTAAAATGACTGAGTAAAAACTTAGCGCAGTATCTGGCACATCGTAGGCACTATGTAAATACTATATTATTATTGTCATTGTTATCATCATTATTATGCCCTGGAGTTTGAGTAGGACAGCAAACATAGTCATAACTTTACATAAGGAAAAATCACTTTGGCAACTGTGTGGAGACAGATTGGATTGGGGTAAAATGAGTTTGGGAGACCATTTAGGAGTCTACTGCGGTAGTCCAGACAAGAGGTAATGAGGGTCCGAGTTAAGGTGAAAAGATCCTGACTCCCAGACAGAGGCCCAAATAGAGAGGACCCTCCCTTTCCAAAGGAGGAGATGGGACCTCTTTCTCTTCCCATAGGCACTTTGAACTGGGAGACCGGAATGACCCCCGAGAGGCTGCTCGGCTCTTCTCTGTCCCGGACTTTGTGGGCGATGCCTGCAAAGCCATTGCCTCCCGGGTGCGGGGGTCTGTGGCCTCAGTCACCTTTGATGACTTCCATAAGAATTCAGCTCGTATCATCAGGATGTCTGTCTTTGGTTTTGATGGAGCAGAGAGGAAGGGTCCTGGGGAGGCTGCTATGCCCCAGCCCCGGGACAGAGCTGTCTTTCCCCAGAATGGGCTTGTGGTCAGTAGTGTGGATGTCCAGTCTGTAGAACCCGTGGACCAGCGGACCCGGGATGCCCTGCAGCGAAGTGTCCAGCTGGCCATTGAAATCACCACCAATTCCCAAGAAGCTGCGGCCAAGTGAGTAGAGCAGATGGCTTTTCCCTCCCCCCCTCCCCCTCCTAGTTGCCTGGTCTTAGGTCCCGTAGCACCCGCTCCTTTGTATATTGAGATCCTGTGTACTTAATGTCTAGAGGCTTCCTTGGGGCAGCTACGTAGTGTAATGGAGACAAGAAGACCCAAGTTCAAATCTAGCCTCAGACCCTTGCCAGCTCTGCAACCTTGGGCAAGTCATTTCACTTCTGTCTCAGTTTCCTCAACTGTAAAATGGGAATCATAATAGCACCTACCTCCCAGAATTGTTGTGAAGCTCAAATGAGATAATATTTGTAAAGAACTTAGCACAGTGCCTGGTATATAGTAGGTGCTTAATAATAATAAATTCCAGTTTCCTTCCTCCCTCCCTCATAACGTGCTTGTCCCTCGCCCTGCCTGGCTCCCATTTTTCCTCTACACCTATCTCACAAGAATCTTTTCCCGCCTCCTATCCTGCCAGACATGAGGCTCAGAGACTGGAGCAGGAGGCCCGGGGGCGGCTGGAGCGGCAGAAGATCTTGGACCAAGCAGAAGCTGAGAAGGCACGAAAGGAGCTGCTGCTACTTGAAGCTGAGAGGTGAGGAGAGAAGAGGGCAGATAGGTGGCACCGTGGATAGAGACAGAAGGACCTAGAGTCAGGAAGACTCATTTATCTTCCTGAGTTCAGATATGGCCTCAGGCATTTACTAGCTGTGTGACCCTGGGCAAGTCACTTTACCCTGTTTGCCTCAGTTTCCTCATCTGTAAAATGAGCTGGAGAAGGAAATGGCAAACCACTCCAGTATCTCTGCCACAGAATCCCCCAATGGGGTCACAGGACTGAATAACAAGGAGAGAAGAGGAAGAAGAAAGGCTGGAGAATGCAGAGGCCTCCTTTGTCCCTCAGCTTCCAGCCTCCTGTTATTCTTACCTTCCAATGTCACCAATAATTCTAAACACTAAGCTTAATCATCAACCAGTACAATAAAATGAACATACAAAAGACATGGCAAAAAGCTTATCAAACTCCCTCTAACCTTTTAACAAAAAGGAACCAAAAGAATTAACAAAAGTACCAGAAACTAAGATTTTTGTGTCCCTTTCTAGGCCTGTCAGAAATCCTATCACCTTTTGGCCGTTTTCCTTGATTTTTTTTTCTGCCATTGTTGATGTGTATACAGTTTTGATTCTTCTAATATTACTTTGCATCACTTCATTGGTCTTTCCATAGTCCTTTATGTCACACCTTTTTTTTTAAAAGCACCTTAGTGTTCCACTATGTTAAGATATTACAATTTATTCCACTCTTCTCCGATTTTTGGACATGTGAGTTACTTCCATTTCTGCACACCTGGCACAGCTCTCTCCCCTAAGCTCCAGTTCCATCAATCAAGCCACCTGATTAACATCTCCACCCGAAATATCCCACCAAATCCTCAGAGTCATCTTCCAAACTGAACTCATCAGACGTCCGTTAAATCTGTCTCTCCTCCCAAGCTCCCTGTTGCTGTTGCTACCATGGTCCTCCAGTCTCTCCCTCTGTGCAATTTTCCTTCACAAACAAAATT